GTACTGAGTGAAGAAGCTCCAGCCCGGAAAACAGGCTGGCACCCAGCCTGTGCCAGTCAAGAGGCCAGCCCAAAATGGACAGACCCAGAGGCCGGTCCGTTTCTTGGCGCGTGCACAACACGCGGTGGAGATGGCGAGTAACCGACAGCGTCTGCAGGCAGTGGGGCCCGCAGTGCAGGGCAAGTGGACTAAGTCTGTCAAAGGGCTACGTGGCCCTCCTCAGAGCCATTGGATTTCCAACGGCTAGTTTTTGTAGGCCGTTGGATTTCCAACGGTAAAAAAAAATTTAAATTTCACTTTTAAATTGGACCATCCGATCACAGATCAACGGTCCACGTTTTTTTCACCAAAAATTAAAAAAAAAAAAAAAAAGGCCCGACGGTCAGAAATTTGACCGTTGGCCACGTGGCAGCGTGTTGGTTATTGGATTTGATTATTTTTCAAATCCAACGGTCCAGAATAATTACAACATTAAAATTTATTAAAAATTAATTAAAAAATGTCAAAATTTTTTTAAAAAATACAGAAAAATTTTAAAAAATTAATTTTTTTTTTCTATAAATACCTAACCCTCATCTTCCACCTTACACCACATTTGAATATTTTCTACACTTTCTACACTTTCTACATTTGAATATTTTGTACACTTTGAGAGAAAAAAATGACTTCGTGGAAGCTCAGTGAAGATGTTACGTTGTGTGAATGTTGGGTTCGCACTACTCATGACCCGATTACGGGTAATGAGATGGATAAGCGAGAAATGTAGAGTAAAATTACGAAATCGTTCAACGATGTACATGGAAAAGATGCAAGATCTAGTCAAGGTCTTCAAGGTCGTTGGAAAAAACTCAACGCATCCTTTACTTGTTGGAAAAACGCCCTCTCTCATGCTTCTGGTAATTTGCGTAGTGGGACAAGTTTAGCGGATGAGGTAACAATATTTTTATTTATTTATATGCATTCCACCCACATCAATATTTTAATTTATTTAATTTCTTATGTAATTTTTATGTAATATGCATTCCACAATACTTATGTACTTTTTATGTAATTTTTATATAATATTTATGCATTCCACAATTCTTATGTAATTTTTATGTAATTTTTATAGACACTACAAGCACAAGCATTCTACAATGCAAAGAACCATAACAAATCATTCAACAAATGGGAATGTTGGCAAATTGTCAAAGATTGCCCTAGATACAAAATTGTGGCAACCGGTCCAGAAGTTGTCATGCACGATATGGGTCTACACAGTTCGCCAGAAGCAGACACAACCGAACAAGAAGCCAACACATTTGAAGACACGGAAGGGATGCCTGAACAAGTGCCAGAGACCCAACCGACTCGTCAGTCCCTCAGGCCTCAAGGTAAAAAGGCATCAAAGAAAAAAGGTAGTTCTTCCAAAAATGACTACACTAAATATATGGAGGAACTTACTCGTCAAGGTGAAATGAACATGGCATGGGAAAAGGCTAGAGATGAGGAAAAAGCTGCTGCTGTGGCAGCAATTATTGCAGCTACTGAGGCTCGTGATGCGGCGTTTGAGAGACAAAGAGAAATAGTTAATCGAGAGAACGAGATGATTAGAGAAGCACTTCATCGAGAGAATGAGATGCTTAGAGAAGAAAGGATGGCTCAAACAGATCGTGACACTATGAACAAGTCTCTAGTAGGACTGTCTCCGAATTCAAAATATTTTTGGACATCAGAAAAAAGAGATGTCGTGCGAAGGAGGCGTGTAAGAGATGCCGAAACAAGTCAAGGGGGTTCCAGCTACAGAAATCCTAGCAACCAAGATCCTAGCACCACATATCCTAACTCCACAGACTTTGTATAATTTCGCATTTATTTGTACTACTTTATTTAGTTTCTTATGTAATTTCTTATTTATTTTTAGAACTTTATTTAATTTCTTATGTAATTTCTTATTTACTTTTAGAACTTTATTTAATTTCTTATGTAATTTCTTATTTACTTTTAGAACTTTATTTAATTTCTTATGTAATTTCTTATTTACTTTTAGAACTTTATTTAATTTAAACTTAAAATTACATAACCTCACCATTTAAACTTAAAAAAAAAACCATTTAAACTTAAAACACCAAATAAAATTACATAAAACACCATTTAAACTTAAAATTACATAACCTCACCATTTAAACTTAAAACACCAAATAAAATAACATAACCTCACCATTTAAACTTAAAAAAAAAAGCAAACACACTAAATAAGATTACTTAAAAAACAATACACTTTATTCTTCAACCACAAGCCTTATTTTAATTATCTTCGCCTTCGTGCAATCTCCACTGATGGTCAATCAAGTCATTCTGGCGGGCTATGTGCCAGTATGGCTCTTGCAATGAAGTGTATCGTTGAACGATCAATTCATTGTAACGTCCATCCCGTTCCAACGGCTCGTGTTGCACGAGATCTTCGGTCCGGTCATGAGCATAGTAGATTTGTGTTCTTGAGTTGTTCATCGGATCCGGCTCGTATTCATCGACGTCATCATAATCATACTCGTCTTCAACAATCATGTTGTGGAGAATAATACATGTCATCATGATGGATCGAAGAGCCTCGACATCAAACATTCTAGCTGCAGCCCTGACAATGGCCCAACGAGCTTGCAGGATACCAAAACAACGCTCGACATCCTTCCTACACCCTTCTTGACACTTTGCGAAGTGTTTCTCTTTTTCACTCTGCGGGTGTGGCACTGTTTTGACAAATGTTGACCACCTTGGGTAAATACCATCTGCAAGGTAGTATGGTCCCTCGTATTTATTACCATTAACCCAATACGTGCATCTCGGCCCACGCCCTTGTAGCAGTTCGTCAAACACTGGAGATTGGGCAAGGACATTTAGGTCATTCTGAGCTCTTGGAACACCAAAAAAAGCATGTCAAATCCATGTATCAAAAGAAGCCACCGCTTCCAGAATGATGTTTTTGGCTCATTTTCTGTCGCCATAAGCTCCTTGCCATGCACTTGGACAGTTTTTCCATGTCCAGTGCATGCAGTCGATGCTTCCAATCATGCCAGGGAAGCCTCGCATCTCACCCTTCCTCAGAAGCCTTCGCATGTCCCTTGTCGTGGGTTACCGAAGGTACTCATTGGTGTAGAGGGCTTCAATTGCAGAGCAAAACCGCATCAGGGACTCCAGAACTGTTGTTTTTCCCATCCTTGCGATCTCATCCACTTGATCTGCAGATGCTCCATATGCAATGATTCGCAAGGCAGCCGTAATTTTTTGCTCAGGAAGAAGACCTAGAACATGAAAAGCATCCTCTTTTTGCACAAAATATGGATCATGGTTGCAAACATCACTCATGATTTTAGCGAACAAACTTCGTTGCATTCTAAAACGACGTCTAAAAACATGATCAGGGAAAACGCTGTTGGGAATAAAATAATCTTCCAAGAGATCTTTACCTCGTCTTTCCCTTCTTCTATCGATGTTTGCCGCACGTCTGGGTTTGGCTATCTGACCCATAGCTTCCATGATACGGTGGGAATGTGAGGCCCTCCGCCTTCTATGGTGATCATCCTCAAGCACCTCCATTGCGAAGGCCTCATCTCCACCTCCACCTTGGTCAAGATTGACCAATTCTTCCTGTTGTGCCAACAACCTTTTCTGCTGCTCTTGTAACTGTTTATACGCTCTCCTTGAAGAAGACATTGTAAGAACTCAAGATTTGAAAATGATAAAGAAGAATTCTGAGCTAAAAAAAAGGATTGAGTTTAGTGTGAGGATGGATGTAGGGATGTAGGGTTTATATGGACAAAAAAGAAGAAGATGAGGTTCTGGACAATGTCACGTGGCACTACGTGATTGGTTGAAAATCTTAACGGAAATCTATTAAAAAAATAGTACGTTCGGATAATGACACGTGGCGTGACGAGATTGGTTAAAAATCTTATCGAAATCTTGCCTAAATTATTGTAAACAGGAAGTGACACATGGGTTGTCGGGATTGGTTGAAAATCTTAGCGGAAATCTATTCAAAAAATAGTACGTTCGGATAATGACACGTGGCGTGACGAGATTGGTTAAAAATCCTATCCGAAATTAAAACTATTTTTTTATTTATTATTTTATAAAAAAATTATTTAATATTTTAAATGGACTGGGTGCCAGCGCATTTTGTAGGGGTGGAGATCGTTTGTGCCAGCGCATTTTTAGACTAGGTGCCAGCACATTTTTTTTGGGGTGGAGATGCTTTGGCCTATTACTGTTCATTGGGTCTATTACTGTTCAATTAAGTAGATAAATGGGCTGGGTGCTGGCGCAAAGTGGATAGGGGTGAAGTTGCTCTAAGGGAAGGACACAATTTGGTATTTTGAATGTTTCACCATTTTGATGGATTTGGATCCCATCCGGATCCAAATTGTGTGGATCTTAGGAATTCTCATATCTTAGCCATTCATCGTGCATCATATGGTCAGAAACCATTTGACTTTTTTTATTTAAAATTAAACACAAATAGTACCTAACGAAAATTGGCCACATAATGTACGATTAACGGCTAGGATGTGGGGATCTCTAGGATCCCCACAAAGTGGATCCGAAGAGAATCCTCTTTTGACATGCTCCCTTTATATACAGAGAAGACGAGGGACACAAGGAATGGGTTATATACAGAGAAGAAGAGAGACACAAGGAATGGGTGATAGGAATGGTGAAGAATCAACTAGTTCCCCACTTGATATGCTTCCTGATTTCAAGTACTGGATTATGGATTTTTGAACTGAACCTTGGTTCGGCGCTCTATGCCGAATTCGGTTTCAAAAAACCGAAGACAAAATGTCCATTTCATCAATCCCCAGACTCTTTGAGTAGAATTCGGTTGTTAACTACCGAACCCCTTTATTTTTGTCAATTTTTTAGAGAGCCGGACAAACCAAGAACCAAAGGTTTATCGACTTCGGCCCATGAAAGGCGAACCCGCCTGAAGAAACTTGACCCGGATAATATGAAACAGAACTCAAAACCTCTCTCAAATACTCAAAAGTTTCAAGCTTTCCAACTCAAAATTCAGGCAACAAAATTGCAGAATTTAAAAAAATGAAGAATCATAAACCCTAAAAACACAAACTGCCGCATTTCCCTCTAAAATTAAACCCCAATTGCTCAATTTTTTTCATCTTCCCAGCAATGGCATCCATTGACATTCTCAATCCACCTAGAATTTGCATTCCCAAACCCCACACCCACTTCAAATCCCCAGCTCACTCGAAGCGATTTGGTTTGGTTCGGAAACTTCAACCGCAGCTGCCTCTCCGCCGCGGGTCACTCACCCTCCTCTGCCAAACGTCTTCCGGGCCGTCGTCAAGGTCCGGTGACAATAGCAAAACCCCCCAGGACGATTTTGTGGCCAGGGTTTTGAAGGAGAACCCGAGCCAGATTGAACCCAGGTACTTGGTTGGCGACAAGTTCTATACTTTGAAGGAAAAAGAGAGGTTGGGGAAGAATTCCAATGTGGGTTTTGTTGAACTCTTGGCGAAACGGCTGAATTTTTCGAAGCTGAAAAATGAGAGAATTGAGGGACAGAGTGATGGTGGAGTGAAGGATGATGCTGTGTATTTAAAGGACATTTTGAGGGAGTATAAGGGGAAGCTCTATGTGCCTGAGCAGATTTTCGGGACGGAGTTGCCGGAGGAAGAGCAATTTGAGAAGAGTTTGGAGGAATTACCCAGAATGAGCTATGAGGATTTTCTTAAAGCTGTGAAGAGTGAAAAGGTTAAGCTCTTGACTTCCAAGGAAGTTGCAGGGACTTCTTATGGGGTCAGTGATTACATTGTTGATTTGAAGGAGATACCCGGCCAAAAGAGCTTGCATCGAACCAAATGGTAAAAAATGACTAACCAGCTTGTTGCTTAAGGAGTTGTCATTTTTGTGGATGTTTTTGGTAGCTTATTGATATGTTTTTGCATATTTTCAGGGCAATGAGGCTGGATGAGGGTGAAGCTCAAGCTCTTTTGGAGGATTACATGGGCCCGAGATATGTGATTGAGGGGCATACTACGGTGATCAATCTTTGAACTCATTTGAGCTTAGTTAATTATAACTTGTGAATCAAATGGAAATTGGTTTTAAGAAAATGAAAACTAGCTATTGGTGAATTATCTAGTGGTACTTATTTTGCATGGTGTAAAATTAGAGTGTTTGGTATGTAGTCCCATTTTATACGGAGGTTCTGGTTTGAGTGCTTAAAAAGTAAGTTTGGCTGCATTAACTTTATTTTATTAATTGTAGTATCAGTGATAGAAAATGTTTGAGCTCAGTGAAAATAATCAGGTTCAAGAATTAACTTCAGACTTCAAATTTTGCGGCCATATCTTGTACTATATATCTAGACTTGAGGTTTTGGTCCTAGAACACAATGCATATATGTCATAGAAATCCATTTTTATTTTTATTTTTATTCATATAGAAGATTAATCTTTCCTTACTGTTTGATTCCTCTGCTGCAGTCTTGGGTTGGAAAGGTACCACAGTACCCTCATCCGGTGGCATCTTCCATATCTAGCAGAATGATGGTGGAGCTTGGAATGGTAACAGCTGTAATGGCTGCTGCAGCAGTTTTTATTGGAGGATTCCTGGCTTCTGCAGTATTTGCTGTTACCAGCTTCGTTTTTGCGTCAACTGTATACGTCGTATGGCCTATAGTCAAACCATTTACGAGACTTTTTCTTGGTCTCGTCTTGGGTATTTTGGAGAGAGTATGGGATAACCTTGTTGACTTTTTCAGTGATGGAGGCATTTTCTCTAAATTTTCTGAATTTTACACTTTTGGTGGTCTATCTGCCAGCATTGAGATGTTAAAACCAATAACGATTGTCCTTATGACCATGGTCATTCTTGTCCGTTTCACACTTTCAAGAAGACCTAAGAACTTCCGGAAGTGGGTAATGCTGCGTCATTTCTACAGTTTCATGCCTTGTATTATTATGCCATGGATTTGATCACCATGTGTTGCATTTGCTATGTGTAGGATCTGTGGCAAGGGATTGATTTTTCACGATCCAAAGCAGAAGCCCGTGTTGATGTTAGTTTTCTGATGGTTACACATTTTTCAACTTTCTATATTATTGAAGTTGTTCATAATGTTCTTAGAATTCTATTTTGTCTTGGCATGTGTTCAGGGGTCAACTGGAGTTAAGTTTAGTGATGTGGCAGGGATTGATGAAGCAGTAGAGGAACTTCTGGAGGTATTCGTTATATCTATTCTTTGAGAATAAATTGCTTAAATATTGTAAATTCTTTCGTGGTCTTATGTTGTTATAATTCTTAATGGTACATTCCTAATTAAGGGAAACTTATTAGTATCTTTGATATTCTGCTGATTAGTTGGTGAGGTACTTGAAGAACCCAGAACTATTTGACAAAATGGGAATAAAACCTCCGCATGGGGTTCTTTTAGAGGGTCCTCCTGGATGTGGCAAGGTTTGTTATTTGTGTAGACCTTCAATCAGTGTACAAATTACAATACATAAAATTATCACCATTACTAACTTTTCAGTTTACTCACCTGTTTCCAGACCCTGGTTGCGAAGGCCATAGCTGGTGAGGCTGGTGTTCCGTTTTACCAAATGGCTGGATCTGAATTTGTTGAAGTCTTAGTTGGTGTTGGTTCAGCTCGTATTAGGGATCTATTCAAAAGAGCCAAGGTGATTATACTTCCCATTTGTAGTTGGATTCTGTTAATTGTGATCAATCTTCTTTAGACTTTACTCCATTTTTAATCTTAAACATTTAAACCTGGACATATTTTTTGGAGGCACTATGCACTAACAAATTTGGTTCTCCTGAAGGGGAAGTGAGAACACAAACGAGTCATACTCTGCTATCAATTTCATAGTTTCGACTTTAAAATCGAATTTCCTCTTTAAAAGTGGTTCTGACTTCTGAAAGAGTGTTTTTATGAATTAAAGCCTCATATTCACTTTCTTGAAGTCTTTATTGGGATTGTTATGCTATGAATTGCTTTATTTTTTTGGTGCAGGTAAACAAACCATCTGTTATTTTCATTGATGAGATTGATGCATTGGCTACGAGGTATGAATATTTCTCTTGCTGAACTTTAATGATTTGTGCTATTGTTTGTGGTTTTAATTTTTTTTAACATACAGTAATTAACTTTATGGGATATCATTATTGTGCAAGGTGCCGGCTGACAAGAGCCTAGTGCTTAACTTTGAACTGGATGTTAATAAACTTATGGATATGTGTTTTCTATCCTGTGCTCAGGCGTCAAGGAATTTTCAAGGAAACTAGCGACCACCTGTATAATGCAGCCACTCAAGAGAGAGAAACTACTCTGAATCAGCTCTTAATAGAGCTTGATGGATTTGATACTGGTAAAGGTGTTATATTCTTAGCTGCTACAAATCGCCGGGATTTATTAGACCCTGCACTTCTTCGACCAGGTCGTTTTGATCGGAAGGTTTGTTCTCTTTCTAAAGTAAAAGACTGTTGGAACTAGGCTAGTGTGTTAGCTTCATGGAATTTAGTTCTTCTGTTTAAGCTTGAGAATGACATACATCGGTCATATTATACATCTGTATCTTATGTTAAATGAGCCATTCATCTATCCTCCAGTCATTGGTTGGATTTTCCCTGGTTGATCCGGATTATTCACTGACTGGAACTGAAATTTTCTGCTTGGTTATCCATAAATTCATTAAATTGTATATGCTAGCTTTGTTGAATGTAATTTCTTGGCTCATTATTATTTGGGTTGCATCCTGTAGATAAAAATTCGTCCTCCTGCTGCGAAGGGGAGATTGGATATTTTGAAAATCCATGCAAGCAAAGTGAAAATGTCACCATCTGTTGATTTGTCCAGCTATGCACAGAACTTACCAGGTATGCATCCGTCTTTGGTGCTCCATTGGATTTGTAATTTGAAGGCCTGAATCCAATTTTCTATTTATCAGGATGGACGGGAGCAAAGTTGGCTCAGCTGGTCCAAGAGGCTGCACTTGTCGCGGTGAGGAAGGGGCATGATTCAATTTTTCAGACAGACTTGGATGATGCTGTTGATAGACTCACTGTAGGACCAAAGCGGATTGGTATAGAGTTGGGCCATCTGGGTCAATGTCGTCGAGCCACTACTGAAGTTGGAGTGGCAATGACTTCTCATCTGCTTAGGCAATACGAAAACGCAGAAGTTGAACGGTGTGATCGCATTTCAATCATCCCTCGTGGTCAGGTGCTCTTTCTACTCCTTTATCTTCTTTTTCGTCCATAGTCTAATTTGTAATTCTTTGTTGCTTTGTATGTTTTCGGCACTGTCTGATGAAATAGTCACTGTTATGTGGTTCATTCTTGTCATGCTGTTGCATAATTTGGTAACCTGAATGATATATAGACGACCAACTATCTTCTTAGATTACTTAAAGCCAGGCAACTATCCTATCCTGTTAATTTTGCGGTTCTGTAACATGTCATGGCTACTTTGATATTACTGATATTTCCTTGTTTCCTATCACTTGTTACTTATGGTGTAATTTTGTCAAGTAATTTGTACAGACATTGTCACAAGTTGTATTTCATCGACTTGATGATGAATCATACATGTTTGAGCGCCGGCCACAATTGCTGCATCGCCTTCAGGTTTTATTTATTTATTTATTTTTTTTTGTTCTTGTAGTTTCTTTTTATACTGTATCCTATTAATCTGATGGTTTTTTTTTTCGTTCCTTTGTGCAGGTTTTACTTGGTGGAAGGGCCGCTGAAGAGGTCATATATGGACGAGACACATCAAGGGCATCGGTTGACTACCTTGCTGATGCATCTTGGCTTGCTCGTAAAATTTTAACCATGTCAGGCCGTTGTTCACTACTGTTTTTCTACCTCCTTGCTTTCTGTGTGGTTGTAATGATTTGATTTGATTAATCTCTCCTTATAGTTGGAATTTGGAGAATCCGATGGTCATACATGGAGAGCCACCACCTTGGAGGAAGAAGCTTGAATTTGTAGGCCCTCGGCTGGACTTCGAGGGATCACTATACCACGACTATGACCTGATTGAACCACCAGTGAACTTCAATTTGGATGATGATGTTGCAAAAAGGGCGGAAGAGCTGATACACAAAATGTATGACAAAACACTTTCTCTGCTTAAGAAGCATCACACGGCCTTGCTTAAAACTGTGAAGGTAATTGGTCTGGATGCAAATTCGTATATTAATATCTGGAATGCAAATTGAGATTGCATACGTGCAAATGAGCTGATTGCATTTAACTTCGAAGCGGTGCAATGACAGTGGGATTCATTGGCTTTCTTTCACCTCAGGTTCTTCTTGAACGCAAGGAAATTAGCGGTGAAGAAATTGATTTTATCTTGAACAAGTACCCTCCACAAACACCCTTAAAGCTTCTTTTAGGAGAGGAAAATCCTGGCAGCCTTAAGTTTGTCACACAAGAACAGGAACAGGAACAGGAACGCAAGTCAGAGTACGCCCTTCTATCTCAATCCAATGGAGAAAGCCTATGATTAAGCGAATAGGGACTCTCCATGGACTTGGGTGTATCGTGCATTCGTTGAGGACTGCATCGAAAGCTTCATTTCTAGATGGACTCACTTATGGGGACTCTCTTTTTTTATTTACTTTTTTTGGTGGTTGATAGATAATGTAGAAATGTGCACTCTCTAGATGGAGGCTGATATGGTGTAAGAAAGGAATTAGCTTCCAGATTCATCTCTACTTTTTCCATTTACAAATGAATGAGATTACTACTCAGATAGTTGAATGTCATGATCTCATTCAACTCTGTCACACAATTTTTCTCTAATTAGTTCCGCTATGTGACCTTGCTTAGAGGACTTGCATAAAATGGAGACGTCAAGGTGGCGGTGTCTCAAATCCTCATGCGATGTCATGTAAAAAAAAGCTAAAACATGTGGCAATGTGTGATAAGTTTTGACACAGCCTTGGGTACTCACGTTTCACATAAGTCTCTTCCTTTTTAAACAATGAAGCATAGCATGGTTACACGCATCAAATTTGTTTACCAATGTTTGCTTGTTATTGTGTGTCAGTGTCTCAATTATTCAAATTTCGGTTCATTTATAATTCAAACAACAATCTAATCTAATTTAAACAATTGGGAAAGACTGGAACTTGGTCCGTAAGAATGAGCACACAAGCTCTAACCAACTTGAATATGTGCACGTCTACAAATTACGGTTTAGTTTAGAGAGCAAATTCGGTGCCTCTGGTAGTGGGAGGTGGCGTTGATACTTGGGACCAAATTAAACCATTGTTAAGGAGAAATTTTTCATTGTGCTTGGAAACACTGGTAGACATCACGTGTCATTATATAAGTTGAGTGATTTTTTTCTTTTCAAGATGGTAATTTTTAACACAAGTATCTCACCACTTGTATAGTCACAGTGGTGTACAACTCTGTGTTCCTAAGAATTGAAAATTCTCTCGTTGCTGAGATGCGGGTCAAAAACTTGAACTCAAAAGCTCAAGGCTTATTAATTGAATTGCCTCCTAAAACTGCCATTTAGTCTTAATTTACACCCTGAAACTGGTTTTGTCTCATTTGCCCCCAGAAACTGACATTTTCAACTCTTTTGGTCTCACTTCATCTCATTCCGTAAAAGAAACGTTAAATTGAAGGGTATTTTGGACACATCACTATGTACACACCTCTTACACTAAAATTGTTAGTAATTTATCGCCAATTGGAATATGTGACTCAACAATGTGAAACTATTGTTTGCAAATTGTGCACATTTGCCTTGGATAAATTTTTTTGGTTTTGAGGTTTGCATAGGAAGTATTTTGTACCTGATAGCTTAATTGTTTTTTTTTTAGATTATATATTGTGCAACTGATTTGAGATCATTTTCTTATGGGTGAAACTTTGTGGTTAGGCCAATTTTGTTTATAAAGATATCTTGGAATTGGCTAATCATGTTTTCTTTATGTTGTAATAAGTATTTTTCAATCGCACAGTTTCATTGTGCTAGTACAATGATGCCTTGCAAATGAAATGACTCTAGAAACAAAAGTGTAACATTTATTTTGGTTTATATAATGTTTTGTTAGCAGAAAATTTTCTATTGATTGAATAATTTATTTTTAAAAATAATCAAAACACATGAGTTTAAATTAGAATTGTCAAAAATAGAATTAAAATTGTTTTAGTACGTATTGTAAAAAGTGAAATATCCAAAATACTTTTAAATTTAACATATTTTTTTACTAGAATAAGGTGAAATGGGACTAAAAATAAAATAATTAAAAACATCAATTTCAGAAAGTAAAGCAAAATAAAATTAATATCAAAAAGTAAATTAAGACTAAATTACAGTGTCAGACATTTCAATTAAAAAGCCAAAGCTCAAAATCCAAAAGCGACTTATGCGCCTCTCAACGGCGAAGAGCGGTTTCCGCAACAGTGGGAATAATTAGCCACAGAGACCCAAAAAGAAGAAAAACTTTGCCACAAAAAGCAGACAAGGACTTTTCCCGATTCCTATTCGTCAGGAAATCCTTCATTCTCTCTCCCTTCTCCTCTCTCTGCTATGTTTTTATGATGAAACATAAAGGCCCACCAAAACCCTCCAACCCAACGGCCATTTTTGCACAGAAGAAAGATGAAGAAGCCTCGGCACGGCTCCTTTTATACCAAAACCCAAACGAGAGACCACCACACCAGTATTGACGGCTCCAATTTCCAGGAAAGCTGCAGTTTTCAGAAAAGCACTGGGGGAGAAAGCTGCAAAAGCAAAAGTAAGAAATGCTACAACAACAAGAGCAAGAGCTTCTACGAGCTTTCTCTCTCTCTGATCTTCTCTCTCTGGTGCCTTGTATTCTTGTTCTACTCTAAGCTCGGTCTCGGCCATGGCAGTGGAGGTACTTGGAAATTTTATTGTCCATTTGGGTTTCATTTGTTTGGTTTTCTGGATTTGGATTTTTTTGTAAAGTTTGCCTCTTTTACCTGTAATTTCTTATTCCTTATGCACACTTCTCGACTTTGTGTGTTCTAGCAAACCCATTTGCCCAATCCGTATTTATATCAATAGATTGAAGAGAAATGGATAAAATAGAACAAAAGCTGGTGCCTTTAATTTTCTGCTCATAAGTTTCTCAGAGAAAATATATCCAAATGTCACGAAAGAATAAGATGGTTAACATTGTTTTGGACACTGTGCTATTGGTGAAATGAATTCCAAATATCCTTAATGGGTATGAGAAAGTGTCAATAGGTTCCAGTTTTGTTTTCATTCAACAAACTCCCGCGGAGATGGAAGTCGAGCAAGGGCTTCTCCGCCCAATTCTGATTGGTTTTGGGTTGGATGCTCACATTTTAACATAGAGGGGGTCTGTTACTTATTATCCGCGGTTAATGTTCTCAACAATTTTGTTTCTTTGTTAAAGAATGTTCATATCTTGGAGTCTAGATTCTGAGAAGTTCTATGTAGGTTTTCTATTTTTTCTTCTTTCGAATAATATGGTTTCACTATTGTTTTTTTCCTAACCAATGTCTCTGGTCTAGTTTATGGATTGATAACTTTGCTGAAGTGTAATGTTGGGGAAATCTCTTCAGCTAGTACCCTTATATTCTTCATCATCGATGAAATTATTTCTATGATTTTCAAAATCTTATCGTTTAGCTGGAGCTAAGAGAGTATTTTAATTGGAATCGCCATTCTGCTATTTTCGGATGCATGCTTTTAGGATAAGCTATTTGGGTGGCATTTCAGCTTTTACCCTTGTCTACTTATTTTTGCGGATTTGATCATTTAACTTGAGCACATATTTTCTTCAGGGAATTCAGCTCCTGATAACAGATCTACACATTATCCTAGTGTTCACAATGGTAAGCACGGTGACCATGCATGCTCATTTGTAGAAAATGGAAGCGGAAAACAGACAAATGGACTGGTATTGGATTTTACTTCGTCTCAAAGCTGTAACGATTCTGGAGTTTCTGACAACTATGCAATTTCCAAGTACTCACTTCCAGAGACGGATAGATTAGAAAAAATAGTTTGGAGTATTTTAGGCTATGGTGATTTGGTTTGTGAACTACATCAAGCACATGATTATAACACAAATCATTCAGGACAACTTCTGAATGGAGGAACTTCTCATCCCTCCTATCTCAATTTTGACGAATTTCAAAACATAACAAAGCAGGAAAAAGGTCAGGATATGCCTAGTCAGCTTGTTAACATTACCCAGGGGCTTGAATCTGATGGAACGGAATACAACTATGCCTCTGCATCCAAGGGTGCAAAAGTGGTGGCTCACAATAAGGAAGCAAAAGGAGCATGTAACATATTGGGAAAGGATCATGATAAGTACCTGAGAAACCCTTGTTCCGTCGGGGGAAAGTTTGTTATAGTTGAGCTTGCAGAAGAGACTCTGGTAAATTCTGTCAAGATTGCAAACTTCGAGCACTACTCTTCTAATTTCAAGGAATTTGAATTGTCTGGAAGTTTAAGCTATCCGGCAGAAGCGTGGACGCCATTGGGAAACTTTGTTGCTGCTAATGTCAAGCATGCTCAGACCTTTAAGCTGCCTGAACCCGAATGGGTAAGATACTTGAAGTTAGATTTACTAAGTCACTACGGGTCAGAGTTTTACTGCACATTAAGTGTTCTAGAGGTGTATGGCATTAACGCAATTGAGCGGATGCTTGAAGATCTGATTGTGGCGCCTGCAGAACCTGCAGCCAATAAATTAGCAGAGCCTAATTCAACTGTACAATCATCTCCAAGAGAAGAGGTTGGTTCAACTGATGGGAAAACAAGTAATGAAGGTCAAACTGGGGTTCGAACAGCTGGTGTAGGAATAGAAAGCGTTGAAGATACACAAAAAGTCAATGTAGATGTTACCAAAAATCCAATAACTACGAGCAAGATTCCAGAGCCGGTTCTGAAGGTTAGACAGCAGCCGAACGGAAGAATTCCTGGTGACTCAGTTCTGAAGATTTTGATGCAAAAAGTGAGGTCACTCGAGCTGAACTTAGCTGTGCTGGAGGAGTATATCAAAGAATTAAATCGAAGACAAGGGGGTATCTTGCCGGAGGTTGGTAAAGAGCTGTTGAGAATATCATTGCTTCTGGATCAATGCAAAACGGAGATTAAAGATATCTTGCAATGGAAGGAAATTATGGTACTACATTGTTTTTTCTTAGCACTTACTATACATATAATGTTATGCATATAATTTTTGGGACAGGAAGCTTATCAACCTAATTGTTTGGCGTTCTTCGATTCAGGAAAAAAGTATTACCGACCTTGAATCATGGAAAGCTGTTGTTTCATCCCAAGTGAATGCATTGGCCAGGGAAAATAACATGTTAAGGTTAGATATACATCTAACTTACAGGCTTTTGTGATGTAGTGAATTCTCCCGTCCTCGTTGCTTCACATCAATCTATAGACTCACTGACATCTCTTTGTTACTGCAGAATAGACATTGAGAAGGTTGTGAAGGATCAAGCGAGCCTCGAAAGCAAAGAGCTTGCAGTTCTAGCAGTTAGTCTTTTCTTTTTGTGCTTTGCAATTCTGAAACTAGTTTCAATGCAAATTTTGACATTTTTAAGAGGAGCCTCCTCCTCCTCGTCCTTGCCGTCTCAGTCTCAGCCTGAGAATGCATGCAGGAACAATAGAGGTTGGGTTTTGATGATTGTTAGCAGCAGCATGACAATATTTATTACTTTGATCTATAGTTAGAAATTCCTCTTAATTTTCTTGTAGTGCCAATCCAGCTTT